CAACACTACATACAACACTAATACAACACATCAACACATAACACTACATACAACACTACATACAACACTACTAAACACTAACCATACCACAACACTACATACAACACTAACATACAACACTACACAACAACACTACAACAACACTACTACATACAACACTACATACAACACTACATACAACACTACATACAACCACTACAACAACACTACAACAACACTACATACAACACTACAACAACACTACATACAACACTACATACAACACTACAACACACACATACAACACTACAACAACATACACACTACAACACTACACAACAACACTACATACAACACTACACACAAACACTACACACAACACTACATACAACACTACATACAACACTACATACAACACTAACAACACAACAACACTACAACAACACTACATAAAACAAACAACACTACAACAACACTCACTACACACTACATACAACACTACATACAACACTACATACAACACTAAAATACAACACTACATACAACACTACATACAACACTACATACAACTACTAACATTACAACACTACACACAACACTACATACAACACTACATACCAACATACATACACAACACTACACACAACACTACACTACAACACTACAACACCTACAAACAACACACACAACAACTACACACACAACACTACACACAACACTACATACAACACTACACACACTACTACAACAACTACAACACAAACTAAACATACATACAACACTACATACAACACTACATACAACACTACTACACAAACACATACATAAACACTACACAACATACACACAACACTACATACAACACTACATACAACACTACATACAACACACACACAACACACCTACATACAACACTACACACACACACTACATACACAACACTACATCAACACTACAACACACACACAACACTACAACAACACTACATACAACACTACTAAACACTCACACAACACTACAACACACAACACTACATACAACACTACTACAACACTACCACAACACTACAACAACACTACTACAACACACTACATCAACACACAACAGACATACAACACACGTACAACACTACATACAACACTACATACAACACTACATCACACATACAACAACCTACATACAAACACTACATACAACACTACATACAACACTACATACAACACTTACAACAACACTACATACAACACTACATACAACACTACTACACCACTGACAACTAACACTCACACACACTACTACACACAACATACACACAACACTACACACAACACTCAAACACAACACTACACACAACACTACATACAACACTAACACAATACACAACACACAACATCACTACATACAACACAATACACACTGTAACATTGTTCAATCGAGCCAAGTACTTAACACTGTAATTTCTTAAATACATTACATTAACACAAATTGCACCTTTAACTATGGAGTACAACTTTCTGGTATACTTTACCACCTCACTACTGGATCATTATCACACGATGCGACATACATATTCAGTAAGACAATTCCTACGTAAACGTTCAAAATATCAGTTATAATCCACGCTATACAACCACCTCACGTATAACAAAAAAAAAAACTGACGTCTACAAACTCATAAACAGCCACGGTTGTACTAAACACCAGTATGAACTAGTCAAACCAATACACTACGTAATGTTGCTGACGGAGTACATACGGTTACCACTCATACAACGTATACAGACACACCATAAGTACTTCAATACAACCGTATTGCTTAGCTAACAACAGGTTGCAACAACAGATCACTTAGGAACACATATGTGACTGTACTGACCACCGCTCACTGGATGGGAACCGTGCTAAAAAACCTCACTTACTAACTTCGTAATGCTCATTAATATACTTACTTTGAAAACCATGATAATGCTACTAATATTTCACCTACTGTAGGCACTCCCACCAGGGAGACTAGTGGTGAGTAAGGGAGACAAAGAAAAAAAAAGAAGATAGGAGTCAGGGCAGATGAAAATGTGAGGAGACAGCCAGGGTTTGGTAAGGAGCTGTGAGGAGACAGCCAGAGTATGGTGAGCTAGGAGACAACCATATGGTTTTAAACTGTGAGGAGACAAACCCGGTATGGTGAGCTGTGAGGAGACAGCCAGGGTATGGTGAGCTGTGAGGAGACAGCCAGGGTATGGTGAGCTGTGAGGAGACAACCAGGGTATGGTGAGCTGTGAGGAGACAGCCAGGGTGTGGCGAGGAGCGGTGAGGAGACAGCCAGGGTATGGTGAGCTGTGAGGAGACAACCAGGGTATGGTGAGCTGTGAGGAGACAACCAGGGTATGGTGAGCTGTGAGGAGACAGCTAGGGTATGGTGAGCTGTGAGGAGACAGCCAGGGTATGGTGAGCTGTGAGGAGACAACCAGGGTATGGTGAGCTGTGAGGAGACAGCCAGGGTATGGTGAGCTGTGACGAGACAACCAGGGTATGGTGAGCTGTGAGGAGACAACCAGGGTATGGTGAACTGTGAGGAGACAGCCAGGGTCTGGTGAGCTGTGAGGAGACAGCCAGGGTGTGGCGAGGAGCGGTGAGGAGACAGCCTCAAGGTACGAGGAGAGACAAGAATGACACAAAGACTTTCTGAAATTAGTGAAGATTATTATACTAGTTTCTAAATAATAATTATGATTAATCTTGAGCGCTAAATACGCGTGGGTCATTCCGAGTGGATAGGTCGTGGGGACTTGATCCTTTCTCCATGCAGCGCTACCTAACTGCTATTAGAATTTTGCAAGAGGAATCTGGACAAGTATCTTCACCAGGAGCCAGATCACCCAGGCTGTAGTGGATATGTGGGCTAGCGGGCCGCCGGCAGCAACAGCCTGGTTGGTCAGGCAATGGCCGGGCTCCGGGAGTAGAAAAACTCTCGGAACTCATCAAAGGTATTCACCTCGAAAAACTGTGTAAGTTTGGACCCAGTGTTCTTGTGTAGATGTATATTCTTGAGGCTCTGCAATCGGCAAGTAGACTGGTTGTCGTACAAGGGTAAATCAGCAGTAGATTAGCTGTTGTAGAAGCGGGAAACGGAAGTAGACAAGTTATTGAAGCAAGGTGTAGGGTGGCTATCGTAGCCTGACGCGGGTGGTTGTTATAGCCTGATAGGGGTGGTTGTTGTAGCCTGACGGGGGTGGTTGCAGCCTACTGAGGTAGTTATAGCCTTCTGAGGAAGGGGTAGTAGTAGTTGTTGTGGTGCTTCTTGTAGCCAGATGGGATAATGGTTGTAGCCTGATAGGGAAGAATAGTTACCAATGGTTACTATATCTGATAAAGGGTAGTTTTGTTGCCTGATAGGGGGTGGTTACCTGGAAGTTACCTGTTAACAATTTCGTGGGTTCACTGCCTCTAGCGGCCCGGTCCCAAACCAGGCCTCCCAGTTGCTGGTCTGGTATAATACTGCTTATTGATCGACTTGCTGTTGTTGGGACTATAATCGGTATTTCTTAAAAATTTAAGTTTATCGTCGTAGCCTTCTTGCAAAATTTGTGTGTTTGTACGAGAATGTTTAAAGATTATATAAGAATACCTCCTGGCTGTGTTCTCCTGCGTTCTCGCTGCACATCGTTGAAAGAACAGTCAGTTGGTGTGTACACGTTCTATTCTAAGCACAGAGTCTGACACCCTGCTAGTACTCAGCTCACGCTCCTTCATAAACTCTAATTTATATTCAATTTCTATATTTTTTTATCTAGTAATTTAAAATTTTATATTGGTACATAGTCGGCGATGGCTATAGTGAAAGACAATTAGTGACGGGAGAAAGTCCCCCCCCTAAAAAAAAATCATTTAGTATGAAAGGTGGTTACGGAAGGCGTGTAAGCCTCTTACGTGTGGTGGAAGGTTAAATGTAGCCATGGTGTGTGTATTGGATGTAATGGTTTCTATGGAGCCTCCATGGTAGTGGCCGACTTGACAACCACCAGAGGATTGGTAACGTCGCCTCAGAGTGGTGAATTAGGCCAAATTCTTTCTGCGCGTGTCAGACTTGCGCGACGAAGTGAAGAGCAACACAGCGAAGTGTAGCTAAACTTGTGTTGGAGGGACGGGCGGCTGTTACTATCGGAGAGCGTGTGTGATAATCCTTCCTTCATATTTCGCTCACCCTGCTGTTCAATAATGCTTCATTCATATTACTCAAATTATTGAATTTCCACAAGTTTAGGATGAAGGCAGTATATAATTTGCCTTTTGAGACTATGTTAAATGCTGCAAAAAAAAAAAATAGTATCTCTTATGTGTATTTTTGCCCAGATGGAAGATTTTTTACATTGTAAAATATATTTTTAAGTTTGTGTGTTGGCTGCTCAGCTGGAAGATAGCCAGCCAGAACTACTCTTGTTATCATTCATATGGCCTTGAAATCATGTACCCTGGAGGAAGTGTTGTCAGGCAAGTGGGAAGACTTGCAGAGCCCAGGTCGCCGAGTACTCCAGCGGCGGCGGCGGCGGAGCGGACCCTTGTTTTACACTAAATATTTTGGAGAGTGCAACATGTAACCAAGAAAATCTAACGTATCACAGCGGCGGGCAGAGCCACGTACCTCCTCACTCCAGCCCAGACGCGCAAGTCCTCCTCTCACGCCCCACACCGCAAATATTCCTGTTTTGTGGCGAATTTTCATGGAAGTCCACTCTAAATTTAATGCAGCATTATATTCGGTATATTTTTCACCTATATAAAAATCAGGTTGTAGTATAAAAGTTCTGCATTAGCCGAAATTAAGTGTGCTATCGTAGCAGAGGAATCGAATGAGCCACGTGGTAATGTTATGTCGTAGGGCGCCGACCAATCAGAGGGAGAACCGGCTCTAAGCCCCGCCCAGCGAGAAGCTTGCTAGCCAATGGGCGAGCGGTATTCAGGTTATCCCTTGTGATGTGGGATACGCCACTTTTCCCCACGGCACCAAAACAGAGGCGCTTGAAACCCTGAGTTCCAGTTGCCAAGTCGGTTGCGACAAGAGAGCAAGAATGGAAGACTTGTGAAGCCTGAAGTGGCAGCGGCCAGCGACGCAGCGGTAGTGCCAGCCAGTTAGTGTCTGTCACGGAGACGACCCAGGGACATGGACGGAGCGCGGCTGTGACCTATGTGACGCGAGGTGCGAGAGTGGATGACACTCCACGCAGAGCTAGCAGGCGGAGGAGGAGGACAGCGGCTGCAGCACATCAGTAGCTGAGTATCACACACACCCCCAAAACGGCACACAACACACAATTTACTGACCAAGAGCTAATCCCAGACAGTGGACAGATGGTTAAGATGCCCCAGCGACAGCGGCACAACACAGGCGGGGGCGCTGGAGGGGCAGAGCTGCCCCTGCTGGACCCTGGCGTGATCGAGGCCCACAACGCCGTCACCACCGTCCGTTGCTGCGTGCCCCTGGCGTGCGGCTGTCTCCGGGGCTACGAGCCCATCAACCTAGACTCTCCCACCGGCTGTGTCCGCGTTCATTGTAACAACGAGCACTGTACGGTGGGTAATCTCATGCACGGCGAGTGCTTCTCTGCATGGGAGACGCACGTGCTGGCCTTCCTCAGGTCGTGCGGCCGTGCACGCTCCTGGTCAGAGAAACAACGCCTGCAAAACTTATGGACAAAACGCGGGTACGATCTGGCTTATAGGGCGTGCTCCTGCCTGTGTAGTCGCGGACACCTCCGCAAAGACCTTGATTGGACACCCCCAACAGAATCAGACGATGAAAATAGAACCAAAAAGAAGAAAAAAAACCGTCAGAGCCAGAAGCCCACGCTGGTGACGGTAGGCACTGGTGCCATCAATAACAATAACCCCAACACCAGTAACAATAACACAGTTATTAGCCTGAGTACCACTCCGACCGGCGAGATCCCCGGACAACCATGTCAACGCCACCGAAACAATTCTATTTCTTCAACTGGGTCCTCGCCGCCCTCAGACGCGCCTACTAGCCCTCACCACGCCGCCCTCGCCAAGCGCAGGTCTAGAGACTTCTTCACTGACAGAACCAGGTAAATATTTCTGTTCTTGAGCATGGTCCTTGGTGTTTACATTTTGTTGTTCCTAATGTCTGCAATCGTTGTTGCACACTTCATTTACTGTGTTCAACTAGCTTAGGGAAGAACCCTTAAGTTATAATTCATTATGTACAATTTTGTTTTCATTACTGAGCAGATTTATGGTTGGATGCAAGAAATTGCATGTCAGAACGCTTAGCGCAAGCAAAAAAAAAAAAAAACTTATGGGTGACCTTGAAAAATGTGACGTGTAGAGCTTGGCTGGCCAGACGTCGAGACCTTGGAACCTACAGTTAAAGGGGCAGTTTCCAGAAGCTACCTCGAAAACGCTTAACAATTCTGACTACTGTGTATGTTGACGTTCATTGTCATCTTAACAGATAAGCGAACCGCTTGCCACTCGTGCATATCCAGCGTTTTTTTTTTTTTTTTTTTTTTTTTTTTGGCCTCGTTCTCTCCAGTGTTCATTCATTATCTTGCACTCCCTGCTCTTGTGCTACACAAAACGCCCCACTCTTCCGAGTACCTTCATATTCTTGGATGTTGACGTGTAATTCCATAGTTCTCCTCCGTCCACACTTTCTGTTACTGGTGTTTGGATTTAGTATGACTACCTAAATATTCTTATCTTTTCATTCTTCAAGAGAAGCGTTGATAATCACTAAGTTAAAAACTCTTGTAATTCCATGTTGACTGCTGCTGCTTTACTTATTTGCTTAAAAGATAGATCCTATATCCAACAGCTGAAAATACCCATTTAATGTATACTTAATGCTGTAAGATACCTCCTCACCACGTAAGACTTCTCGCTCACAACATAAGATACCTCCCTCACGAAGCAAAACATTTCTCACGAAGTAAAATATTTCCCTCGCGAGGTACAACACCTCCCTCACGACGTAGGATATCTCCCTCACGACGTAATAGACGTAATACACTTATCCCTCACACGTGTCTCACAACAGGTTGGTCTGAAACAGGTGTTACAATAACAGCTGATCTCAAAAACTAAAATTTGTTTAAATTCAAACGTCACTCATGACTAAAGGGCCACCACGTCAAAACGTCATACAACCAAAAGGTCTCACTCGTTATCCACACCCAAAAAATGTATCTTGAGTAAAACATGTCACTCACAACCAAAACGCCAGCTCACAACTAGCATGACATCTCACAACCAAAACTGATATCAGCTCAAAAAACAAGTAGCCAAAACGTTAACTCGCAAACAAAAATATCACCATTTAACGTCAGCTCACAACCAAACGTCTACTCAATTAAAACGCAAACACGGTCAGATTTTCCCTCAACTATAGTCACTCACAGTCAGAAACGTCATTCACAGCCAGAAATATCATTCACAGCCAAAAACGTTACTCACAGCCAAAACATTCACGGCCAAAAACGTTATTCACAGCCAGAAACATCATTCACATCCAAAAACGTCATTTATAGCTAAAAATCGTCATTCACAGCCAAAAACGTCACTCGCAACCAAAAGCGTCAAGTCATAACTAAAAATGTCAGTTCACAATCAAAAACGTCAACCTCAAACAACGCGTCCCACAAAACCAGGAGAGTATGGAGCTGAACTGTTCCCAGGGGTCATTGAGGATCAACGAGTGCTACGGCCAAGTGGAGACGGCAGCTGTCTCCCTTGCTCACTTATACACTTCTGGCACACGGTCCTGGCAGTCAGAATGCCAGGCAGAGTGTCAATTCAGTAAGACAAATTTCTCATGCACTTGATACACATATTCCGTTACGTTTATACTTTCACTGCGAACATTATTTTTTTTCATGTTTTGAATTTCGAATGCGCTCCAAGTTTTTACAATTACCTTAACGTTTTATTAAAATCTCGTTATAGTTTGGATTTATGTGAAACGCTAAGCCTACGTGAGTCAAATTGCACAAGGAGTCGTTGAGGTTCGATCCTTTGTCAGCAGGTGTCAGACAGACGCACTAATTATAATAGTCTAATTGTCTTAATATAACTTGTGACTTGTGCGTCAGTCTGCAGTTTTGGTTTTGTACACTGTGTCGTCCTAGACACGACTCGTATGTGTCGTCTCAGTAGGACTCGTATGGGTCGTCCTAGGCAGGGTTCGTATTTATCGTCGTAGGTACGACTTGTATGGGTCGTCCTAGACGCGACTTGTATGGGTTTCTCTAGGCATGACTCACGTGTCGTCCTAGGTAGAACTCGTATGTGTCGTCTTAGGCAGGGCTCGTATGTGTCGTCTTTGACAGGACTCGTATGTGTCGTCCTAGGCACGACTCGTATGTGTCGTCCTAGGTAGGACTCGTATGGGTCCCCTAGGTAAGGCTTGTATGGGTTGTCCTAGGCAGGACTCGAATGGGTCGTCTCGGGCAGGGCTCAGGTCGTCCTAGTCAGTACTCTTATAGGTCGTCCTAGTCAAGACTTATAGGTCGTCCTAGCCAGGACTTAGGTCGTCCTAGGCAGGACTTATAGGTCGTCCTGGTCAAGACTTATAGGTCGTCCTACTAAGGACACAGGTCGTCCTAGTAAGGACACATAGGTCGTCCTAGTCAGGACTTATAGGTCGTCCTAGGCAGAACTTATAGGTCGTTCTAGGCAGAACTCTTATAGGTCGTCCTAGGCAGAACTTATAGGTCGTCCTAGGCAGAACTCTTATAGGTCGTCCTAGTAAGGACTCATAGGTCGTCCTAATCAGGACTTGTAGGTCGTCCTAGGCAGAACTCTTATAGGTCATCCTAGGCAGCTCTTATAGGTCGTCCTAGTAAGGACTTATAGGTCGTCCTAATGAGGTCGTCTAGGCAGAACTCTTATAGGATTCGTCTTAGGTCCCTAGCAGGACTCTTATAGGTCGTCCTAGGCAAAACTCTTATAGGTCGTCCTAGGCAAAACTCTTATAGGTCGTCCTAGGCAGAACCTATAGGTCGTCCTAGGCAAGACTTATAGGTCATCCTAAGCAGGAACTCTTATAGGTCGTCCTAGGCAAAACTCTTATAGGTCATCCTAGGCAAACTCTTATAGGTCGTCCTAGTAAGGACTCATAGGTCGTCCTAATCAGGACTTGTAGGTCGTCCTAGGCAGAACTCTTATAGGTCATCCTAGGCAGATCTTATAGTCGTCCCTAGAAAACTTATAGGGCGTCCTAGGCAAAACTCTTATAGGTCGTCCTAGGCAGAACTCTTATAGGTCGTCCTAGGCAGGACTTATAGGTCGTCCTAGGCAAAACTTATAGGTCGTCCTAGGCAGAACTCTTATAGGTCGTCCTAGGCAAAACTCTTATAGGTCGTCCTAGGCAAAACTCTTATAGGTCGTCCTAGGCAGGACTTATAGCTCGTCCTAGGTAAAACTCTTATAGGTCGTCCTAGGCAGAACTCTTATAGGTCGTCCTAGGCAGGACTTATAGGTCGTCCTAGGCAAAACTCTTATAGGTCGTCCTAGGCAGAACTCTTATAGGTCGTCCTAGGCAAAACTTTTATAGGTCGTCCTAGGCAGAACTTAAAGGTCGCCCTAGGCAGGACTTATAGGTCGTCCTTGGCAAAATTCTTATAGGTCGTCCTAGGCAGAACTCTTATAGGTCGTCCTAGGCAGAACTCTTGTAGGTCGTCCTAGGCAGAACTTATAGGTCGTCCTAGTCAGAACTCTTATAGGTCGTCCGAGGCAGAACTCTTATAGGTCGTCCTAGGCAAAATTCTTATAGGTCGTCCTAGGCAAAACTCTTATAGGTCGTCCTAGGCAGAACTTATAGGTCGTCCTAGGCAGGACTTATAGCTCGTCTTAGGCAAAACTCGTATAGGTCGTCCTAGGCAGAACTCTTATAGGTCGTCCTAGGCAGAACTTATAGGTCGTCCTAGGCAGGACTTATAGCTCGTCTTAGGCAAAACTCGTATAGGTCGTCCTAGGCAGAACTCTTATAGGTCGTCCTAGGCAGGACTTATAGGTCGTCCTAGGCAGAACTCTTATAGGTCGTCCTAGGCAGAACTCTTATAGGTCGTCCTAGGCAGAACTTATAGGTCGTCCTAGTCAGGAATCGTATTCGGCTCATTTTTATCTTTACTATTGTTATCACATTCACAGCGCCTGGAGAATGGCAGGTTTGATTCGAGTAAAGGGGGAGAGAGAATAACTCCAAGTCTTCTGAACAAGAGCCCTTCAACAACACTATAGCACCATCCTTGAAGGTTCTGTGTATATATAGCATTCGCACATTTTTATATCCGCTTGAGTTATCGAGGGCTTCACAGACTGAAATATTTATCACTCGTCTTTCCTCGCTTGCCTGTGATAATCTATTTATATAGCCGAGTGATCGTGTGAAGGAGCCCCGGATGGCCAGTTGTCGTCTTAATAATAATAATAATAATAATAATAATAATAATAATAATTATTATTATTATTTTAAGTACAGGTACAAGGTATACAGGCCTAGCAGAGCATTTCGGGAAAATTAGGTCAGTTTTGTCCCAGGATGCGACCCATACCAGTCGATTAACACTCTTGTACCTATTTTACTGATAGGTGAACATGAACAGCAGGTGTCATAAGGAATTAGGTGAACATGGACAGCAGGTGTCTTAAGGAAACACGTCCTAATGTTTCCACCCGTGCTGGGGATCGATCCCCGGACCTCAGTGTGTGAGTTGAGTGCATTAGCAATCAAGCTACGGGACACTGTAGCCTGTCTGTTTATTCTTCTTTTGCATTGCTCCTAGACTCTAGTTCTTAGAAGTTTCCAGTTTTCTTTTCTGGGTCTCCCTAATAATTATTTCCCTTTCTCATTTTATAGTTAATAATGTTCGTTTCCTCTGGCTTTCTTTTCTTTTTCCTTCCAGTTTCTCATGACTAACTTTTATGATTATTCCCCTTTATGATTCTTCTACTGTTAACTTATTTCTCTGTGCGATTTACTATGTGTTAATACCTTTAGTTCTAGTTCATGTATTTGTATTTGCTTTTCCGTGCTTCCCCTTGGTACTGTGCTTCCCCTTGGTACTGT